AACATTTGAGCAAGAATATATCAACCTAAGCATGGCTAACCAGGTTAAGGCATATATTTCAAACAAAAAATTGTGGGTTTGAATCCCCACCCTACGTGTTGTTAATACTCAAAAAAAGGAGGTTTGAATGAGGATAAAAGCAACTCTGAGACATAATATGACATGACATTTATCACCATCTTCTCTTCAAGTCCCATGAGATTATGTCAAATGAATTAATATATTTTCTCCATCTTGTTTAGTTCCTATGAGTTTTTGGGTTTTCGTTCATTTGTTTTTAGTTTTCAAGTATATATATATATATATATATATATATATATATATATATATATATATTTTAACAAGATACGAACTTTTCATTGATAAATGAAAATGACCAAAATTGTTCAAAGGTACAAACTCCCTAAGGGGTGAACATAAAAGAAATAATTAAAGTAAAGAAACAAAAAGGCCATCAACCAAAGAAACCTCATTAAAGGGGAGTTAAAAGTTGTAGAACTTTTTATTGATTAAGTAAATGTCCGACAGCTCAAAATGGTGTATTCATGATTCCTTGGTTGTACTATTTAATATCAAATTTGAAATTTTATCTATATAAAATTTCAAATTTGGATGATGGGCTCAAAATTAAATGCAGCAACAAAATAAAGCCCCTCTTAATAGCTCAATTGCATAAATCAATAGTCGGAGGTTCGTATTCTCACCCTATGTGTGAACTCAAAAAAATAGTAATAATAAATATAAATATAAAAAATAGCACCAACATTCTATGTATAGCATAGCACCAAAAACCCAACACCATTTCGGTTTGGACGTCAAACAGTACAATAAATAGTGCGTTCTGAAGGCAACATAATTTGCACGGAACTAGCAATGGGTCTAGTCATGCTAATAAGACACAAAGGAACACTTGGTAGTAATATCTGCCTTCTACACCTACTACTCCTTTTCACAAGATCTGACGTTCTGGACCTATCGTTTCCCTCGAGTCCCCCTTATTCTGTTTACCAAACCCTAACAGACATGCTTTTTACTCTCTACCTGGCCCACTATCATGATCATCGCCCCCTTTCTTTTCAAAATTCACCCATAACCTTTCTTAGCAATAAACAAATACAAAGGAAGAAAAAAATCATTCGTAGCATGTGGATGTGGTGAGTGTATTTCAAACTGATATGGCTAGTCAAACCATGCATGAATAAAAAATGCCCCATGTGGAGTTATTCCTAATTTTTTCAAATTCAAAATCTATAGTAGCAACTTTTTGAATTGATAACGTCAAATTTATATTAATTCAGCATAAAGCTACATCAGAAACTTTTAAATATTATCTTAAAATCAAGTATAAGCCAAAAATAATAATAATAATTGAGTGCGTTTCGAAAAAGATAGGCAAATACTACTGGTGCTTAAAATAGTAAAGGAAAGTTCAGGCTTACTATCTTGGGCGTCCATGTTAAGGCTGACCGCTCGATCCCTTGAGCAGCAAGCCAGTCTTCTCCGCATTCACATCATCTTGTTATCTTCTCTGGAAACTTGGGCTATGCTATGGAAATACAATTGATCCAAATCAATTGAGGCTTGCAGCAGACAATGTGACAAACAGGCCGATCAGCATGAGCCCATTGCATAATTTTTAATAAAGAATTAGTCATTATAGGTAGAGTTAGGTCGCGAACTTCAAAGACTTACTGTGCGGCTGTCAGTAAATTTCAAACGAAACAAGAACACAAATACTCTCCCCCTCGCCAATCTCTCATCGATTTCCGTAGCTCACAACACAAATTATTCARCAAAAACACAACATGGTGGAGCAAACTTCAAACAAAACAATCCTAGTGAACCGTGAAGTTACARAACACAGAAACGATAAAATTGAGATAAAAATCTCGAATCAACCAGCCCTAGGATCTAGCGCAAATAAGGTAAAATGCAAAAGTAAAACCAAGAAACCTTAGACTGGATTCCACGGCGGAGCCAGAGCAGCATCTCTCTACAAAAAATACATTCTGATCAAAAGTTGCAGCACCGGAACAAGAAGAAAACGAACAGTTGGGAYCGAGCCCTAGGAGAAGAAATACTCTGCCATCGCCTAGCTTCGCGATAGTGAAAATGGCGGACGGATTTTGGACAGGAGAGAGAGGGGGAAGAAGGAGAAGAAGAAGAGTCGTGTATTTAGATAGGGAGAGAGGGAAAGGTCTATGTGGAATGGACGTGAAAGTTACGTACGGTCTTGACGCGTGAGACGAGGCGCCGAGAAATCCCATCACGACCGCCCACGTGGCAGCATGTCGAGTTGGGCTCCGCGTTTGGAGTTCACGCACTTCGTACGTGGCAATTGAAAGTACAACTGGGCTTAAAGTGGGACTCGAGAGAACTAATGGACGGGGCCCAACTCCCGAGTCCTATTATATGATCCATTTTGGCGGTTTCTTTTTCCTCTTTAGTTTTCAAACATTATTTTATTTTAATTTTCTTTTTAATTAGGCAATTTTAAGAAAGTTGCTTTTGTTTATAATTTTGTAAAAATGGTTAAAGGATATACTTGGAATTTACAAGTATTTAACCACCCAACAAACTTGTTTTTCAATTCAAACGTTGTTTCCTACCTTAAGGGATTTTAACTTAATTATTTTAATTATTTTATTAAGAATTTGAGTTAATTTAAACATAGTGCTCCACAGTCTCCATCCCATCCTTCTGTCATTCTACTTTATCTTTTTCTTTCTTCGCAACAATGACGAATGTAGTAAGCACAATTCTATATGGTGGTACATGTAATGGAAAAATGGGTATAAACAGGGCATCAGGAAGAATATTCATTTAACAAACAAAGAAAAGTTTCATCCATATCGTTGGTCAAGAATGATAGTCACAAATCTCTTATTATAAGACTAGCTGAAGATAGGGATGTCACCTGATTTTAACTGTATTGTCGAATGAGTTTGGGACAAAGTGCATTGTCGTTGATACTGTGATACCCGTATTGACTCCATAGATGGAAGTAGGAAACCATACCGGACGAATGTAAATATCAACAGTTACCCTAACTATGAGAGTTCGACACAAGTGCAATCTACACTAGATATCATTATTGTAGATACTCCCATTGACCACATGAATGGAAGTGAGACATCAATAAATCTAGGTAATGTATATATATTTATTGATAGTGTAGATCTGTTGTATCTATGTATATTGTGTCAAACGTTATCATTACCATATATTTTTTAATTGATTCTTCAATTTGGGTGTATATGTGTATATTTACCAATAATTATCATGCAGGGACGTATACATCTCGTGAGGTCGACGCTATAGGTAGATTCAAATATTTCTTTATTAGTTTGTCTCCTTCTATAGAAGGATGGAAACACTGCTTTCCCCTTAAAACGTGTTGGGGAAAAGTGTTGGGGTGCGTGAAGTCAAACCCTAATACATTGAAATCAAAATAAAGGTAAGGTGTCTATTTTAGATGGGTTATTCCTTAATTATATTTACTCTCCTATTTAAAAATTTCCTATTTTAGATGGGTAAATTTCAAAATCTACCTAAATACAGTCTTACCATTTTTTTTAAATCTACTTTCAAATTCTAATTAGTAATCTTAAATCAAATTTCAGATAATTATTTTATTTCATTTATTTTTTGTTAGATGCGTTTAATTCCATAATATTAAGTCAATTGTTTTTGCTATTAATAAAAATCTAAATCCCTAAATAAAAACTTTTAATTTCCTAATTGGTTGCAATGGTATATTTGTCTAAATATTTTCTCACTATTTAAAAAGAAAATGTCGTTTAGCTATTATTGCAATACCTCATAGGGTCCTTATAATCTAAATCGTTTACTTGATTATAAATTTTGTAAAACCAAATTGTTATTTGTTTCCCTTATTATGCTCATTATCTTATTATTATATGCTAAAAAAGTGTCACAAAAAATTTATACACTCAATTCATTTAAACTTCAAAATTTTACCTAATTTTATTTTGCTTCCGTCATTATAATTTTAAATCTTTCATTTTACTTTCTTTAAGTTTTGGGCAAATTTATAAAAATATATATTTTAATAAAAATTTAATCTTATCCTATATTAGAAATGTGTCTCAAACTAATCTATACTAAATTTTGGATCTCATTCTCTAATTATTCATCTCAAGAATGAATGAAACCTTTTTTCACCACATTGAAATGATGATGTTAGTTGATTACGTTTAAAATTCTATTGGCCTAAGTCTGATGGAGATTTTGGATTAGCATTGGTTGCATTACCGTTCATGACATTGATGCATAAGTTCGTTGCTTCATTTTAAGTTTGAGAAAGCAGAGTACAAAGAACATTCAAGGGAGGGGCTTTCATTGGAGAGCTTGAAAATTTATATACATCTTCTATTTATGGAACGATATATTGAAAGATGGTTTGGAAGGTCGGATTTCGTCCATAAATATACCGTTGTAAATATAGTCTGCATTTGTTTTTCAACTTGAGCATTGGATAAAATTGAAGGGAAAAAATGATGGCAAAAGAGAGATTGAGGTAAGAAGTTGGGGAGATTTCTTTGATTAATATTCTGCCATAAAAATAACTAACTAATTAATTAATTAAAAAAAGTTAAGAGATAGAACAGAATGTCAAATCATTTGCATAAGACTTTATCATAAACATTGTGGTCAGTTTTTTTCCTTCAAATTTTCGGTCAAAACAATCTCGAATCAAAGAGGCATAAGTTCTTTCCAGGGAAGGTCTCAGTCGTAATGATTTACACAACAAAGACTCGAAGCACATTTAATTCTTCTACAAGATCTAAACAATATTTACGAAAATTTTGATTTGAAAGAAGGGATGCATTATAAGACCATTTGTTTTTTTCCCCTAATTTTGAACTTACTTACTGCTCTTATTATAGCCATCTCTCAACGTGCCTGTTCAATTGAATATGAGCTTTTCAGGAGTTGAGTCTTTATCAACTGCAAAATACCCTGAGACAAATGCAGAAAATAATGGAAAACGAAAATCAAACAGAAAGCAAAAGCTATCAGTAAGTCTTCCATGTGCTATAACAAGATGTGTTGCATGCCTGTCTGTTCAACTAACATCTATGTTCTGAAATATAATTAAAGAAGTCATTTTCAAGCTCATCCAAGCATTTGACTACAAAAAGAAGTGAAACTCATCATGCCTCCGTGATGGAGACGGTTCAAAGATATCAAGTATCTTGAAAGAWATCATTCTTTACAAAAGGGATAAATTAGWWCAATTCAATTAGTCTTAAGATGGTATTCTATTCCAAGTTGTATTTTTTCCAGCGTGTTGAGGTTGATGAGCRATTTTGGAGAAGTTGTGTTGGTGCATGGTTTGTGAGGAGGGGAGGATTGGGGTAGGGAATTTATGTGTAATCTTGCTTTTGTTCTTTTATCAATCTCAAWGAAACTCTCGCATAAAAGAAGATTAATAAACAAAGGGCAGYCGAAAAACTTACCAATCCTTTCAAATTGGAATGCRTCTCCTACAACARCATTCCTAAGTTYTGGTACAGCAAAAGCACTCGGGATGACTACTTTTGATTGTGGGTTCAAATCYGCGAGCCAATCATCAAGTTCAGCAGGATTYTGAAATGGCAGTAAGCCAAAATTAGGAAACAAATTACACCACACACACCCATGGAGAGAAGCTCTGGGCATTCAAACCTCAGAAAGGAATAGCTTGTCGAACAATCTAACTYCCACTTTCAGTGGATCAACTCCTGGAGAAGGTTCTGCAACCCAGTGTAGGACCCCCTGCATATAAAATACACAACAGGAAACTTGATCATTAGACTGCAACCTATAATTACACAATGAAAAACTCTGGAGTTYGGCCTCACAAAAGCAAACCTTTGGCTTTGATTTCTTGGAAGCATCATATTCTGCTCTAACCTCAAGTACAGTTTCTTTATCATCCGCAAGGATAACATCTGTACATTTAATAGGATACGCATACCTGTAACCAAAGAATAAGATTCTCATTTTCTGCGTGTTTGCGTAAATATATAATGGTGAAAAAAAATGCAATACCTCAGAAGGACAGACTTCCCAGGTGCAAGACCATAGTAATCTTTTGAATCATTCAACCGGAAATCTGATTGTTCTATGTACACAACATTGGAAAATGGAACCTGATGCCACAAGACAAGTAGAAAGAAAAAAAATAAATTCAGTTTCAGTTGTAAGGCACAGTAGAAAGAATACAACTTTTAAAAAAACAATATTATATTCATAAGTAAGATAAATATCATAGAGAGAAAAAGCAATGTCCTCTGACAAAGAAAAWTAAAAATAACATGAAATCAAAMTATTGATAAGKTACTCGGCAATAAGAAAGCAATGTAATAAGGATAGCCATAACACAATAATGCTMAAAAAAGGTTTGAGATATTCACTGGTAAAGGTTGAAATATCCACTACAAAAAGAAAATGAATAACAAGAAATCAAACRTAATTACTGATAAGGTGAACTTTAAGGAGCGCCAAACTATGATTTTAAAAAATGGCTTACTAGTAGGCTGAATTATCATCCATTATACAATTTTTTGGGCGAGCTGAAAAGATGGACAGTCTTGGAGATCTGTTRTCCATAAATCATCAAACACTAAATGAATATAGAACAGTATTAAGAGAAAACCAAGTCCACCTTATAAAAGGCTGATGCCTCATCTGCTTGAGCTTCAGGCCATTTCTTGGCGTCAAGATCCATTATTGATCCATTTTCTAAGTTGGTAATAACRACCTGAGAGCATACAAAAATTAGTCAAACATCAAACCAAAATTATAATTAGAGAAATCTAATAATCAAAGATGTGCACCTTAAGCGGCTGCAAAACAACCATTGCCCGTTSAGCTGACCTGTTTAGTTCTTMTCTAATGTGATATTCAAGACGATCAAACCGAATCAAACTACAGTCACTGTGGTGAAAACACCAGATAGTTATGGTAACAGCAGATGACAAATGTAGCATGAAATGCTACTGATTTCTTTGACATGCCCATATAACAAGCATACAAACTTCAAACCTTCTAGTGATTCCAATTCCTCGAACMAAAGCATTAATTGCAGTTGACGTGACACCCCTGCGCCTAASACCAGCTAGCRTCAACAGTCRAGGATCATCCCAACCATCAACCCATTTTTCTGTCACTAGTCGATTTAACTGAGAAAGCAAAACATATATATGATCAGTAACGTATGAAAATATCTAACGTCTGAGTTATTCAAAGATGAACCTACAAGCATGCCACACCCACCTTACGCTTAGACAACACATTATTTGAAACATTGAGTCRAGAATATTCCCACACATATGGTTGATAAAGCTCCAGTGCGTGCAATAACCAATAGTAYGAAGCACGACGTGTTTCAAATTCCAAGGTACACAACTGAGAAAAGAATAGAATATAAGATAAAAGATATCACATTTTGACCATCAAATACATAAATGATTGACAAACATCATTATGCAAGCAGTTTGATAATCAGAAATTCAGAATTAAAATTCAACAGTACAGAAATGCAGCATCAACTGAATGGTGAGACACTAATGCTAACTTAAATAAATATAGATTTCGTCCAATGTAAATGGAACTTCTAATCTCCAGATACAGGAGGAGGTGGGGGAGAGTATCAAGAATGCGAGATAAACAGCTTTCAGAGCTTTTAGGTGGAAGGTTAGAATTCTAAGATCAAATTTTAATGTGATGGTTTACACCGTTGGCTTCATCTATCGATTCTCATTTATAATCTTACGGCCTAATGCCATGTTAAACATGCATTAGAAGAATGGAATAGATTTTTGGGTACTTTACAAGTGAGGTTCGCTTCAAGTACGACTTTTTTAATATTAGTCACTAGAGGAGGTGCACATGCATTCACCAGTTCTTTGGCAGACTGCTTTTTTGGCTATTCGTTTGTGCATTTGGCTAGAGAGGAACAACAAAAGCCTTGGTAATGTATTCGAATGTTTAGCTTGAGAGAAACAAAAAGCCTTTGTAGACAACTTAGCCTTGACGTGGTATTCAATGCACTGTATTGTCTCATCTTGACCTTCTCTTTACTATTTTTATAATTTCTCTCCATCAGTTCTTCTGTTCTAGCCACGCTACTATCCTTTTTTATAATCTTTACCTTTGTCTTATCTAATGAAATCTTTCTTTTGATCATTTCTTAATGAGAAAATACATATATATATATATATAAAAAAATCAAGTGTTTATTTTAGTAATTTGTCCATTTTAAAAATAGTTTTTAAGCAAATATAACTAACTCAATAAACAATCTATAATTCTTTGTGAGTGGAATCRTTCATATCTTAACAAKGAAAAAKRAGKGTTTGTTTTAGAAAATTTTCAATTATTAAAAGAAATTAAACAAATACGAATCATTTAGAAAAAAGTTATGAAATATTAGAGCCGAACGACAAAGTGGTTTATTATGAAACACTTTTTGTTAWATTACTTATAATAMAAAATACTCTAGATATAACACAAACAGCTCCCTTAAGGACTTTAGCATCTAGTATTTTGTCATGTAAGCCTCGAGGAAACATCCTTCCACCTCACCCTAGGTCTCCTACTATTTAAATAGGGTAAGATACACTTTTGGTCCCTAAATTTTAAAAAATGACAGTTTGATCTTCGACCTTTAGAAAATAGCCCTAAAAGGTCCCTAGAGTTATACTTCCGTTGGTGTCACTAGCGGAATGCTGACTTGACATTAGTTAGTTGGCAATTTTAGATGATTTATCAATATTTATTAATTTTATATTTTTTTTAAACTTGAGAGACTATTTTTTCTCTTTCTATCTTCTATTTATCTCTCTTCTCCACCATTGATAAAGTGGAAAATGACCAAGTTGTAGATGGTTGGTCACAAGAGGTGCCTATTATGACGTCTCTTTCGAACTCATGATAGAATCTAGGCATTGCAAAATTGCTAAAAATTGACTGGCCGATGGCCTTGCAGTTGTCGTAGGGGTGTAAGAAGCTGGGAATTTCGTTGTATCTAGAAGAGAGAGAGAGCAATTTATCATTGCAATCGATCAATTTTTGGGAGTAGTAGTAATAAATGGAGAAAACAAAGCAAGATTGGACCCAGCGAATGAACAGGGGATGCCGAAATTGTGAGACACATCAAAGACACATGGCATGAAGGGGTTTCCGCCGAGACAGGACACCTATCGATTCTCTCCAGCGCGGTTTTGGAGCATCTGGGCAAGCGCCAGCTTGCCGGAGAGCTCGAGTTGCGGCAAATAGACAACTAAATACTTCCGCCATGGGTCGTCCTCTATATAGTCGTCGTCCCAAACTCAAAGTCAATGAAACTAGCGCCGACCAGGGAGGGGTGGTGATGGTGATATGAAGGCCATTCAAAGCGACCTTTTTTCCAAGGCGAAGCGAAGGATTAATTTGGCCTTGGGGAAGAAGGCGACGAGGCAGGACGATTGGGACTGTGCCCACCATTTTTTTATTTTTTTGCGGTTTGGAAATGGCGATTTGGTGAGGATGAGGAGCGATGGAAGACACTTCTAGTGCTTTTAATTCCAATCTTGGGTACTTGGTTTGTATT